TCACTGGCGTTAGCTCAGTGGCGTTAGCTAATCTGGGGTCTGCCAGGTAGCGTTAATAACGCCAAGGACGTGGCGTAGTGAGTGGCTTTCACAACGCCACTGCCTAGTTCACACACAAAGGCGTACGCTACGCCATGCTTAAGCCAGCCTTACGCCGTGTATGTGAACATAGCCTAAGCAGATTGAAACCCCACCTCAAGGCAAAGAAACCAAATCGTCCCCGCTGCGCGAAACCGGTAAGGGAAGGTAAGAGAAAATATTACAAAAACATGACATAAAATCAGTTTTTTTTTCATTGTTTGCCACTTATTTTCCAGGGGTGACACCAAAATCTGTCTCTTATACACATCTAGATGTGTATAAGAGACAGGTATTAATGTGACCTCATAAAGTACCGCTGTGAGTCCTGTCCCACTGGGGAATTCCCTTATAATTCTACTCATTATATTTGTTAACAATCCAAATTCTATAGCCTTTAGCACTTCGGTTTCAAGTAGGTGCCTTGATCAGCTACATTTGATGCGTGGGATGTGTATAATTGTGTAAGAAACACACAGCTATTCTTTGAAAATATAATACTTATATTATTATTATTATTGTAACCTCGCACCCTGTGCGTTACGGTACCATTTTCGGTTCTGGTAGAGGTAGAAATGAATCAAACGCGTAGACAACGTAGAGTTAACATAAATGGTACATGCTTTATTTTTGCACGGTGTACATCCACTGTGTCATATGATGTCACAATATCATAACCTAAAGTACCGGTAACGTGTTACGTTAGCTTATGATACGTTACGTTGTCACCTTACGTACGATACGCTACGCCGACGCCTACGGTTTAAACTGCAATACAAACAAACGATCTTAGTAATATGAACAATAAAAGAAATAATACTATCAATAATGATAGATAATGCTAATATTAATAATATAATAAAACGATAATAACTATAATACAGTAGCAATATACTGTAATACTAATAAAGGAACATAGCAAAGATTATCTAAGCAACACTATAAACAATACCTATGAATGAGAGCAAATGGCTTTGGCAACCTTCAATTTTAGATGTTTAGTCTAATTACCAAATGCCTTAGTAGGCCGATATTAAATAGCTGTACTCTCAAATACTTCCTAAAGTTTATTTACAAATAGTAACTATTCAATGGCATATAAACATTTAACATAAACAAATTAACGATAAAAAATGTAAGTTTAGTTGAACTCACTACAGAAAACCTTAATGGTTACTGTTCCATATGTATTTAAATGTTACCATATTCTACTAAACTTAAATCAATTATCATAGTCATTTTTACGTGAACACAGCTCAAAAGTACATTACCGCCTACTGGCATTAGAGCAAGATACCAGTTTGACCTGATTAATGTAACAGTTTAGAACACCCTGCCGAACCAACAATCGTACGGACAATATAATCTAAACATGTTCACATGACAATGATTATATAAATTTAAATAGAATACCAATACATGCTATACAACATTATAATAAAATAGAAAATATAAACATATAAAAATAAAGGTAATTCATATCTAAGGGGTGATTATTATAAATAATCATTACAGTGACATAATATACTGCAATTATTATACAGTATCAGGTCCCTGATTACTATCATACTATAATCAACAGCATCTATACAGTGCTAATAATGATGATTATGTACTAAATGAGAGTACTGTATCCCCAATAAGAGTACTAATTTAATCTTATTTATTAACTATAATCGTAGAACATAATTCAATATAAATTTACACAAGTTTCTTCTCTAGAACCTGTTGCATTGAATCCATGAACTGAACTGATATAATGTACTGTTTTGGTGACTATTCAAAAACAATTATTCATGCTAATGAGTTAGAAGTGATAAGAAAGTCTGTTGCTAAGTGGGAATGGCAAACCTTGAAAGCATAGTTGGAATTACAATCACCACAAACTTGTGGTCTGCATAGAGTATCTGTGGTCTATGATTTAACACAGGCCTATTCTACAATCAGGGGCAGTTAATACATATAGCAAAATCTAACTTAACAATTATAGCCTTGTGAGCTGGTATGCTATTTGTGTGAAAAATGTACAAAACAAACAAATCGAAGTGTTACCAGGAGTTTTTATGGATCTAGTGTTTTGCTGTTGACTTGCGATATCCGTGTACTTTTTCCACAGTTTATTTTAACTCGTCAATTTTTTTTTTTGATGAGCTTCTTCTGAGCTGGAGTTTCATTTGGGAGACTAGGCCTCGGCCTACTTTTCTTGGCAGACACTGTCACTGAGCAAGCTATCCCAAGCATTGAATTGTTTTATTTTTTCGCAAGCTTAGGAAAACGATAACGACATTGTTACGTCATCAATTTTTTCAGACAACCCTTCCCCTACAGTAGCATACGTATTATGTCACTGCGTAGGCGATTCGTGCCCTTTGCATGAATCACGGATCATATTAAGCTCCCACAGCATATTGTCAAGAATGTTTTAAGCGATAAAGGTAATGACGTATTCGTGTTCGTTATCGTTTTCGTAAGCTTTTGAAATTTCCCTTTTGCCTTGTCTGTGATATACGACGATATATTTCTTCACTGGAGATTTCCTGAAGCCATCTGATGCCTGATGCTTGATGACTCCTTTCAGCAAACGTAAACGTTTTAATGATGAGGTGGCTATGTTGACACACAAGGCGTAAACTGGCGTAGCTTACGCCAGGCGTAAGCTAATTCACGGATTAAAATTCCAAAGTGTTCACACAATCGGCGTTCGCTATATTAACGCTGGCGTTAAACTAGTAGTAATATAGGCCTATGGGGGAATAGTTTTAAGTTTTGAATAATGTACGGGTTCTTAACTGTGGTAAAATTAACAGTGCATCAGTAAAACTTTTAAATCTGTGAATTGTTCGAAGTGAACTTAATGATTATTGTATTTTAAATGAACAATTTTACTTTGATTTTTTTCAGCTAGCATTGTTGGTGTTGCAGGTTTTAATAGACAGTCTAAATAGGTTAAAATATCTTACAAAACACAACAAATCATATACATTATAACTAAGTAAAATGCAATAGAAAAAGAATCCCTTTACCATTTCATTTATAGAGAGCACAGGAAAGAGACCAAAGAAGCTAATATATTGCAACCGTGATTGGTCTATCTCTTGAAATGAGGTCAAATCATTCAAGCATCACTGGCGTTAGCTCAGTGGCGTTAGCTAATCTGGGGTCTGCCAGGTAGCGTTAATAACGCCAAGGACGTGGCGTAGTGAGTGGCTTTCACAACGCCACTGCCTAGTTCACACACAAAGGCGTACGCTACGCCATGCTTAAGCCAGCCTTACGCCGTGTATGTGAACATAGCCTAAGCAGATTGAAACCCCACCTCAAGGCAAAGAAACCAAATCGTCCCCGCTGCGCGAAACCGCTTCAAGGTAAGAGAAAATATTACAAAAACATGACATAAAATCAGTTTTTTTTTCATTGTTTGCCATTTATTTTCCAGGGGTGACACCAAAATTTGCTCGTCAGATGGGAAGAGGGGGTTGACTATGACAACGATAGCGTAAGTGGGCGTGTCGGGCGAAGATAAACGGCCGGAAACTATGTCGATTTACACGTCTCATGTGCTTATTTATTCGATTTGAAAGTTTACGTAAAATATAAATATTTTTCTTCCCGACAGGGAAGTGGGGGAAATCAGCTCACCGGACGCTAAGCACTGCCCATTGGTCCTCCGGCTGGCACACCCCTGTAATTTTCTTTTATTAATTTTTTGATTCACCGGTTTTGGATTATACACATACAAAGGCCTAATATTACGAAATAGTATAATTGCGGGTATTGCAAACAACGTAAAACATATTTTGATTTATTGTCTCCTATACGGCTTAATTATCCCGTAATATTGTACCATATTTAACTGCAAATAATATAAAGTGTTGACAATTTTTTTTTATTCGTATTCTTTTTAGATAGCAAATTCAATTGAAACTAAAAATACAATGGATCCGACCGAGGAAACAAGAACTGATTTTCCACGATGGGCCTATGCTATTATATGTCTTGTTATTCTATTTGTAATTCTCATAATATGGTATATTTGGATATACAGGGTAAGTAAAATTAATGCTGCTAAAAGCGTACTGTACTGTACTTAAGCACAAGTAGAGAGCACTTTATTTTGGAATACGGGCGATGATGTGGATAAAAGAAGGTTAAAATTGATAAGGCGTACGAGTATTGTCCTGGTTGTAACTCAAATTTTCATAATTATTTCATTAGGGTTGTACACTTTAAGAATCACGAAGTGTATCCTTACCGAACCAATGGGGTTTATAGGGATGGAGCCTTGTCCCCAATTTCTGTGGTGTGATGCTTCCCATGGGCGGGGATCAATCGCAGGTTACTCCCAGCAGTTTGATTGGTAGTCAGCTGGATAGACTGAAGTAGGTCTAATATAGGCCTACAGTAAAACCTTGAAGAGAAGCCCTAGCTTTATTTATTTATTTATTTATTTATTTTTTGTTTTGTTTGTTTGGTTTTTTTTTGTGTTTTTTGATGGGCTTCCTTTCCAGATGAGTTTCTTTTCGAGGCTACTTTTGTAAAGTAGAGTGGGAATTTTATTTTTTATTTATTTTTTTTTAATGAATGCTGTAAATTTTGCTAATTACTACTAAAACAATAAAATAGGGCTACTGTAAAATTGGTCTGATTTTTGGAGTAACCTGCATTAAATTACCTTGACTATTACTGTGTAGACCAAGTGTGTATTAATATATTTTGTTGCTAATTATTTTTTTATGTAGAGAGTGTACTGTTAGTACTATCTGGAAAAAAAGCTTATGCTATTTTGAAAAGAAGCTCATGCTTCTTTTCGAGATGGACTTGTTTTCGAGGCTACTTTTGCAAACAAAAAAGTTGACTTCATTTCGAAATGGGATTCTTCTCGAGATTAAACCCACTGAGGTTCTTTCCAAGGTTTGACGGTAAATAAAGTGTCTTGATCAAAGAAATGTCCACTAGCGAAATGCCCAACTGGGGTCTGAAACCCTGATCTCGAGGTTCGGAAGATGAATCATTTTAACCGTTTTAAACCGCTTATCTTCACAAACATGCTATTTAAAAAAGACGCTCTTCGTCTAAATTGTCTTTAAGGATGCACTTTCCTGAGCTAAAAAATGAATAAATTCAATAATAATAATAAACAGCCTAATTTGTTTATTTGTGTTGGATATTTAGGCCTACTTATAAATTAATAATTTATTTGAGAAAAAAAAATCTCGTCAGGTTAACGGACAGTTGAATAATACTCTGGTCTTTTAGATTGACTCTTAAATTGGTTAGTAATAAATTGGAGTTTTTTTTTTGTTTGTTTTTTTTAAATATATATTTTAGTACAACATTTGCGATTTTTAAAATCTTGATGTAATTTTTTAAATGTTTCTCTTCACAGGACAGCTTCTGGTCATGTCTGTACATGAATCGGGGCACGGAAGACAGCATCATTATACCATTGGTATGTGTTGTATAATGAGGGTAATAGTGATAACGAAAATGATGATGACGTCAATAAAATTACTCCTGATAATGATGATAGGCCTAATAACGATGTTGATGATGATGCTATGAAGATTAAATTGTATCATGTTTTATAATGAAAATATAATATAATGTTAATTGAAAATATTTGTATCTTCCACAATAAAATCGTCTCAAGGCGCTGACATTATAATATTCAGACCACACATATTAAAAAACAGAAAAAATAATAATAGCGAAAATATGCACAAGGTTTCACAGGGGAGGACCTTGGTAGGTCCATGCGTCGTGCGAAGCACCAAACTCTGGGGCGGGCTCGGGGTAATATAGTCCGTTGTTAAATAAAAATCAATATACAATTACTACTTTTATACTCATGAATACTGAATACTGAATGCTGAAATAATTATTTGTCCAACAAAAAGAAGGAAATGCATTTGAAAACGGACACAAATTTAAAATCACAGCACTGAATATTAAAATATGAAATTGTTATAACCAGTTAAATTAAATCTATTAAAATCGAAATTATTATGGGTTTATATCTGAAATTATTATTATTATTATTATTATTATTATTATTATTATTATTATTATTATTATTATTATTATTATTACCATTATTATAGTATAATAATAATAATTATTATTATTTTATTATTATTGTAAAAGATATAAAAATTGTAATATATTAATAAAAGAAATTAAATTGATATAAAAAATACAAAATACATATGAAAACAATACATTACGAAGTAATATCGTTCATTACAGTTGTTAATTATTATCATTTAAACTGAACTAACATTTAAATCACGAAAGCACTGAAAATTGAAATAAATTTTAGTATTGTATTATTATTATTGTCAATATAAAAATATAAAAATTTTAAATAAATTAATATGTACAAGTGAAACCAAAATTTATATACACAATAAAACCATTGCATTAAGAAGAATACTTGTAAATACTATTATTGACTATGGAGGTATAGAATAATTATTTAAATAATTATTTCATACCTCCATCAGTGATTGCACTAAAAATACTGAGATATCATAACGCTTTCAATACTATTTTCTTTTTTCTGAGTCCGGTTTTATTTCTTTTCATATACTGCTAGTCTTGTGTATGTATGTATGTGTGTGTCGGTGGGAGGGGACTTTAGACCCGATGGCCCATTGGATCCTCTAATTTTACAGTGACAAGTGGTCTGCTGTCGTATTTTGTCTTACAGCCACAAGAAGGTCCTGAGCAAAATTTGCATCGCGCTTCATCAAGTGGAATTAATCTTTCTGCAGAGAATCGAAATCGAGTTAAGAAAATAGAACAACAGATTACAAAAAGAACTTCAAATGTAAATGAAGATTTAGAAGTTGATAGCCTATATGCTTGTCATAATGCTGCAATAGTAGAAGAACATGAAGACAATGCTGGAGAGAGCGACGCTGGTAGTGTATCGAATGTTTCAGATGACATTGAATTTGAGAGTTTACTTTCAAAAGCTAAAGCATGGCATGCTGAATTACTAGAACGGGGCGCGTGGCGAGACGCTTGTTATACGTCGAACAGATTCATTGCTGGTTTATTTGATAAGGATGGGGGAATGCTACGTATGGAAAATATGGGGATACGATTACTGATCCCTCCAGGAGCAATTGGAGGAGGAGTTGAGCTTATATACATATACGTCGCTACAGAGCAGATAGGTATACCTCTAACTGAACCTGGTAAGATACGAGCATCTCCGACAGTGTTTTGTGGGCCGCATGGCATGCAGTTTCTTGAGCGTGTCGTACTTTCGTATGAACACTGTGCTAACATCCACGATGAAGGTACCAACTTGCTTCCGATGTTCACGTCGTCTTTGCCAAGTAAAGAAATGCACTTTACAAATCTAGAAGAAGAAGACGATGTTCTTGTCATCAAAAGAGATGGAAGGTGTTCGATAATGATATCACATTTTACAGGGTTTTCAAGCATTGCTACGTCGGCAAATCCAGACCAATCGTTGGAGATATTCATGAATTTAGTTGTGTATTCCTCGTTTTTGCATCATTCTAGCACCGACATGATATTAAGACTGTATTTCGTTCATAAAACTGCAGATGCGTTGCACGTAAGTTAATCTTCTGAAGATCTACTTTTCGATTGTGTGTTCTACAATTATTTCGTTTACCATTTTCTGTTTTAAAATTATTATATGTAGAGACAATGGTGCCTCCAGAAATTTGCCAACAGGGTCCAATGTCCGATGGGGGAGGGGGATCCGAATAAAAACTCCCTGATAGGGTTTTTCATGGAGAGGTTATGGCCTAGTATGGCCCATGGAGTGATATGTAAACTCTTTCCTCCTTTTATGGTCATATTATGCTTTTAGAACAATATAGAATTTGTTTTGTTTTTTGTCTATGGCGTCGGACGACGGGAATCAGGCCTGCCGACGGATGGGAGGGAGGGGTGGAGGGTGCAAATGCCCTCCATAGCGCTCACTGTCGCCACCAATATATGTAGAAACAGGAAAGCCCTCGGTTATGCATCACCTACAGTAATTCCTAACATTATAGCAATATTTCTCAGAATTATGAAGAAAAACAGGAATGAATTAATTTTCAAAATTACCTGAAAGAGAGAGAGAGAGAGATAGAGGAGTAGGCGGAGTGAAGAGGGGTGGGGGACACTGTCCCGAGCCCATATACTTGAAAGGGGTTTTCTTTCCCTTTAATGGCTTTAATGAAAGAAAATTCTTTCAAATAAGTCCAAGAGTTAAATTTCTGGCCATCAAGTGCCGGTCATATAAACACAAATTTCTACCTCTGCCCAACTTTGGTAGTTTAAATCATCTATCAGTACTACTCTCTCTCTATCTTTCGATCGGAAGCGAATAATAATAATAATAATAATAATAATAATAATAATAATAATAATAATAATAATAATAATAATAATAATAATAATAATAATAATAATAAAGATTTATAAAGCGCACATCTCCACAAATGGTGCTCAAGGCGCAGTGACAATTTCACCACAAAAGAAACCGAATCCATATTAATTCCCAAAAGAATTTCGAGCAGAATCCGTATACTAATTATCCTATCGAGGCAGTGTTGCTCCCCTATAGGCCTAAGTATGCACAAAGGCAGTATGTTGAGCATCGGCACCTTCCACCCCAGGATAAGCCCAGGGCTCAACTACCGTGCACTGCAAAAAGAGCAACATTGCGGCGAACAGAGAAAAGTAGTATCATGTTTTTTTTTTTGTTTTTTTGTTTTTTTTTGTAAATAATACAAATTCAACAGAGGAACATCAAGGTTACGCTCGGTGAAGAGATGCAATTTTAAAGTTTTATAAACACATTTATAGACATAATATGTTTGAGCAAGGCAAAGCGTTCCAAAGACGTGGAGCAGCAATATTAAACCTCTATCCACGTCAGAATGATATGATGGGGTATGGTGCATATTATTATTATTTTTATTATTATTAGATTACTAGATAAATATCACCGAACAAAACACAATCCATATAAATAGGCCTGTGCATCTGATGTGCGCAATTGTATTGAATTGTTTCTAACCCCAAAGTGTCGAAAAACTAAGCACCCCACGACCCCCAGCGCCTCTAGATTAGGTACTGGATTCCTTGGGTCCAAGTCAGCTCTTGCCCTGAGCCACCACTATTTCAAATTCCTGGATCCATCACTGGGGGAGGCCTAGTATCGTGTATCGAACCAGTGTTTAGTTCAATCAAGAAAGTTAAAGTGATCTTTGTTTAATAATTACATTGTACAGGCCCGTATCCAGGGGTTTTTTATGGTTCGGGAGAACCCCCTTTTGTAGCAAACCCCCTCTTTTCTGGCGAAACCCCCTCTTTAAATTTTCCAAATAAGTCCTCCAACCCAACTAATGCACTGCAGACCCACCCAGACACAGACATTTTTAAACATATCTGCTTTTATAGTATTATTTAGACCCATAAAGCATAAAAATCCTCTTGCTTTTGGGGTTTCGCCGACCCCACCGGGGCCTCGACTGTGGACCTCACGCCCAGAAAGCCCTCACCCTCCCCTTGGAAGAACCTGGCTACGGGTATGTCCTAAAGCCGGTCTCACACGTTGCGATGCTTACGACAAGGTTGCGATGCTTACGACAAGCTGCGATACCACGACACCTAATATCGTCTGGTGCGCGAGAATTTGGGCCGGGTGAGAGAGGTATTAGGCTTATGTATAAGACACGACACGGATAGTTATACGGAATCGAAGGGTATCGTATACTTTTGAACATGTTCAACAAATTCCAGTTGTAAATGTCGTAGTATTATCATAAGCAAAATCGCAACGTGTGAGACCGGCTTATATTTGTCTGAGGGCTTAACATACATTGTTTGACGTGGTCATTATTACAGAACGTTTTCTGTGAGGAAGAAAGCTTAGAGGGCATCAAGCTAACGCCGTTTACTCCCTGGTTAATCGATACAAATGGAAAGTCCATTACGCGTAATGTATTGTAATCCTAAAAGGAATTATTATTAATTTATAGCAAGTTAAAGTTTAAAAATGCGAAAATATTGTAGCCTATATATATCTATATATATACTGTCTCTTATACACATCTGGTTGGAAGGGGGAGATGCCCCGACAAGGGGGAGATTTCCCCGACGAGACCAAAGTGGGCCTGGTCGAACGTCGTTTAAAATGTTTTTAAAGTGGTTCAGGGAAGGCCCTGAAAATGTTGACAATTCATGGGTTTCAAAGGCATATTTAATCGATTTTAGAGTCTACTAATATGTAAAAATATATTATTTTTTTTATCTCCGACGCGTTGTTGTTGTTCTCCCTGACCGGGGAGGGGGGTGTTTGCTGGCCTTTGAATCTGCCACTGACTAAGAAATGAACACAGTAATCAATAACTAGGCCTCTCCTCTAAAACCCTAAAAGTTATTGAGGGACCCACGGCCGTTTTTTCATTAAAAATATTGAGTTGGAAATATGAAGCTGCTCATGAAATTCTCAACCTAATAAACGATACACATATGACTATATCTTGCACAATGGGTTCCCTCACCAACTCTCACGCCGCGTGACAGAACGGTTTACTGACAATCATTTAGTCGTCATAAAATAAACTATTCAAGAACAAAATTGTTTCAATAAGTTAAATGCAGGTATTCACATCTTTTTTTTGCAGACAGTTGCTGCGAAAATGCTGAGAGAGAATAATTATGTTACTAAAGCATATAAGTTGTCGAGGACGCCCCGGAGTAACAGCGTAAACGTAAGCGCAAGTGTGTACGTGACGCAGGGTGGTGACCAATCTAAAAAATACAGTGAAACGCTTCAAATTTTAACCCACACAGTGAGTACTCTTATGGTTTTTATTTTTCAATGTACAGTTCTAATTCTGTAAGTGTTTGGTGCTGCCACCTCTGACCTCAGTCCAGCCGAATTAAATGATGGTATTGTCTACTGTATTCTAATTTCAGCTAAATGTTTTTTAAATTTTATTTTTTGTTCCGCACGATGAAATAAGTGTTATGTAAGTCAATTTTCAGTAGCATGCATATTTTTCAACTTCAACAAATATTTTCATAAACGTATTGCTTAGGTTTTCGTGAAAAATATCGATAATAATACCATAGGTCTAATTTATTAATATTCTCAGTAACATTCACAATGCTAACTTTCATAACATTAGGAATAACAATAGCAACAACAATAACATAACAAGAACAACAGCACAATAGCAGCAATATAACAATAGTAACAACAGCGAGGCAAAAATCATCATTTCGTGAGTCACTTACTCATTCTTAATTGATTCCCTCCAATCAACAATGTCATAAAATGTTTCTTAGAATGTAAATGCAGCGGACCTAATCTATAATGCAAAAGAGTCAAAAAAGAGTGCAAGAGTGCCTACCAGGGACCACTCCTGATTGAGTTAAATAGAGAGAGTGAGTTCACTCTATTCAGAGTCAATTTTAGTAATTTTTCACTATTTTAAGAATAATATTAACTTATTTAAGAGTGAAAATTTTCACTCGAGAAAGAGTGAAATTGGAGTGGTCCCTGTAGGCACTATTTTCGAGTGAAAATTCACTCTTTTACATTAAGAGAGTAGACCTAATAATTATTACATTTTATAATTCTAGAACGACGAATTACCACCTAAGCCTAAAAGAACGTCATTGCTTCTCAAACAACCTCTACGCTTGATTCTTAAAAGTTTATTAGACCCGGACGGCATGTCCGACTGGAGGATGTTTGCTCACAAATTAAATTTGGATGACGTCATACCGAAGCTAGAAAAAGACACTAGACGAAGTGCTACGTATGAATTGCTCAATATATGGGAATCAATTCGCTCGGGAGACGATGCAGCAGACTGGAATAATTTGGAGAGAATTTTTGAGGAAATCGGACGAAAAGACGTTATAACTGAAATACTGATAGCAAAATCAGAGTCCTCGGCTATTTGAATCGCATCCATTGAAGGTTTCGTAGCTCGTGCCTGGCTGGCTCGCTTATGCTATGTTCTCACACGGCAGCTAACGGTTAGCAGGATCCGAACCCTGTTTTAACCGTTAGCTGCCGTGCGTCCATACGAGAAAATCCCGATCCGAATACGTAAGCGCTAACCAATCGGGCGTTCTCACACAGGTGCTCTCGTGAGAACCGGCTTTAGTGTTTACTCTTTCGTCATCTGATTAGACAACTCACACTTGTGTTTTGATTGGACCAACATGATTGGCTGGGAGGGACACGCTTGTTCCTTGGTACTGTACTTGTGGTTTTTCCTCTTTTGGGAACTCTGGCCATAAGAAGTTGGAATTCATATTAATTCTTTAAAAATAAAATGCAACAATTGTTTATGCTGATAATAAAACATAACTTAGACTAACTTCTGTTAAAGTTGTCCGACATTTTTCGGTTATAAATAAATATAGACCTTATAACCTCTCTGATATTTAATACAATTTATAATTATTGTTATTTTCCTATTATACCATACCTTGTGTAAAGTATATAATATATATCTATATATATATATATATCTATATATATGTATGTTTTTCTTCAATATTGCCTTACAGAGAAAAACCTATTTTTGAGAAGTACTTCGGCAGTGTTTTGTTATAAGCAATTTTACAAGTGATTGTGAATTTTCATTGAGCAAAAAATAGTAAAATTATATTTTATGAATGTTATGATATACAAACTAATTCAAGCATTAACTAACATTAATTACACATCAAACTATTTTTCTATTTTGAAATTAGTAGGCCTAGGCCTACGTAGAGGCATAGGCTATTCTGTTTTTCCCCCTTTTTCTTATAATATTGAATACTAATTTCTTACGATGTTAATACATTAGGTTTGACATGAAATAAATGTATATTATGTCTTTTTTTATTCTATTTTTATTTAAAAAAAAAAAAAAAAAAAAAAAAAAAAAAAGTTCCTTTTCTTTCTTTCTTTTAAATAGCAGAATATGTTAGCCGCAAAGGTTTAATACAATGAAAATAGACTACCGTACTTGTACGCGAATAGCTCTATGCCTAGCAACAATTTTAATGCGTATTGTGTGCGCGTTACGTAATGCGTAGATGGTCATGCACGCGCGTGACGCCTGGCCTTCAAAATGTACTTTTGCTATAATAAATGTTTCACTAAACACAAGAAATTTGTCAACATTAGAATCGTTAAATTGATTTGTATTCCGGAACTGATAAAACAAAACACAACAATATTATTAGATACACACGCCGTAGAAAGGTATGTAGGCCTATACATTTTAATGCAATGCCTTTTCGGTCATCTTATGCCTTTTTTCTCACAGGAGATCCACAGACCGCTTGCCAAACATAATTATGGCTTGGCTGTAGGCCTAGGCCTGGGCCTACACACAGGCCTCAGGGGCGGATTTAGAGGGGGGATAAACAGGCTTTAGCCCCCCTAGAATGTCATAGTAATTTCTTTTTACTGCTTTTTGAAGGTCCAAATTAAAATATTGTTTAACGTTTTCTTCACACACATCACATTTATGGGCTAAACATTTTACAGTAGTTGTTTTTTAGTGATAAAATAAGAATGAAATACGTTTTTTAACCGATCTGTGGACAAAAAAACGTAGCTATAAAGCTGCTTTTGCCTTGCCTTCATGCTCAAATCTCGAAGCAAAGGCCGTTGTGTAGCGGTCTCAACGTTTGTATAATACACTAAACTTTTCGTGTCGCTCGGGTTTGTTCTTGTCTAGTCTTTCATTGATTGCTTGCGGTCAGAGGTATTTGAATGTTTGTAAATAAACTAACAATAAACTAAAATTTTCGTGTCGAGCGAGTCGTTCTTGTCTAGGCCTAGTCTTGTCTTGATTGCTTGTGGTCAGTTCGTACGTTTGTATGATACACTAAACATTTCGTGTCGAGAGAGTTGTTCCAGTTTAGTTTTTTCTTGATTGCTTGTCGTCTGATACTACTACTATATTTAAAACATATTTTTAAAAGAATTCTTTTGTCGTCTGAGGTTCTCATTAACATTGTCAAATTTTACCTTTAGGGACAGTATTTTTATTATGGAACTGTTTTCACCCTCTTCATTGTCTTATGTTCCCCATGGCAACCATTTCACCAGGATTTTTAAAGAATGGTAAAATTTCATAAAATGTCCTCAAAATTTTAAGGGTGGTGCACAAAATCTAAGGGTGGATGCAAACAATTGCTATTTTAGTGCATAGCAAGTGACACGCTAAGTCTGTTTATTGACCTTGCATTTGGCCCTTGCATTAATATTTTTTTGAAGCGTGGTTCAAATATTTTAAGCATGGCGTATAATTTGCCTTTTTAATGTTTTTATTTAAATTATGTTGTTTCTGTGTGTGTCCTACGTGAAAAGATATTTTTATCTGCCATTAAAGATCCTAGTTAATCGTTTTTCATATTATTAATTTATTTACATATATTCTTGTTATAATAATGATTTACTATAAATATTGTTTAACATTTACGGAAATAAATGTTGTTTAATGAATGAATAATTATTCAAATCCACTTGCACTTGACAACAACAACTAGGCATCAGTTATTATTTTTAATGGTGTCTACCAAATATTTCTTCTTAAATTATATACAGATACTAAATTAAAGCTATTTAAAGTGTATTTATTCAGTTTGTTTTCAACGTAGTACTATCAGATTGTTTTGAAAGCTTAATGCAGTCACTATAACAATATTCGAATTTCACAAATTTCGACTTCTGGAGGAATTTAAAATCCACTCCTGTGTTGGAACCCATTATATATATATATATATATATATATATATACATACATACATCTAATAGCACTTTACACATATATCTATAGCCCCCCACCCCTAACCAAAACTTCCGGATCCGCCCCTGGGCCTGCTGTGTTTCATATTACTGTACTATTAGTAATCAGACGCCTTGGCCTAGCCCTAGGTCGAGCTTATTTCTAGTAGTAGTAAACCTGTTGTAGGCAAACAAAGATTAGAGCTTTAATCTCTCTAGGCCTAGGCCTATTTTATAGGCTTAGTATAGTCTAGATAGGCGGCCTAGGCCTAGCTCTAGGCTAGGCCTAGGTCATATTTAGTTTATTATAATAATTAGGCTAGGCCTAGCCATAGGCCCTAGGCCTAACATCCCCTAAGTTAAGTACTAGGGCCGGCCCTAGGCATTTACAATTATCTTTATATTATATTTGCATCTTCGAATTTCATTAATCAATTCGACACCACTGCTTCATACTCTAGCTAGGCAATCCTATCTATTATATAGCCTAGCTAGGAGAGGCCTAGGCTAGGCTATAATAATAAATACACAAAAACATTTACAAAACTCGTAACAATGAGTTTGTAAAACCTAGCCTGCATAACATTTTATTTACATGCAGACCAACACATCTTAAATATTTATATAAAAAAAAATTAATATATATAAAAAAAAGATAAAAATGAATAATGCTACCTACGTAGGCCTAAGCCTAGATGAGAATTATTAGAATATAATTGAAAATTGTTTAGTAAATTACAAGCATGTGAAAAGAAAACAAATAATATGATAATAAAAATAAACGAGTTAGGAGAATAATTTTCATAAAAATAAAAATCTATATTTATTACGGTGCATTCTCAAATTCGAGACCCCTCTAATTCGAGACAACTTTTTAAAAGAACCAAATAACAATTTCAATCTTTTAACTCAAAGTTACCGTCTCTACTGGAAAATGGAAAATCCCAGGACCACTCCAACTGTTAGGTTCCAACGTTGCCGGTCTCAAATTGGAGGGCGAACTGTTACTGTAAATATATATTTCCATTTTTGTCCTGGAAATAAAACCCGGGAAAAGAATATCATCTTACCCGTCGTTTTCAAAGAGAAAATAAACCAAAAAATTAAAAGAGTGAAGTATTAATCCGATGCGAATCATGATTGCACTACACCTTTTAAAGCATGAAAAAATAAGCATATGCCAACATCTTATAGACTGTAGAAATCTGATGCAAGTTATTTACCAAATTATTTATTATGTTATTAAGTTATAAGGCCTAAAAAATATGTTTGCCCTCCTCACCCTCTCGAACTCATTGAAAAAATAGTTGCGGCAAAAAAAAAAACCAAAAAAACTTTTAAAAAGCTTTTTTTTTTTTTTTTTTTTTTTTTTTTAAAAACTTTTAAAAAGCTTTTTTTTTTTTTTTTTTGCTTTTTCCTTTACAAATTACAAACATTAAAGTGATCTTACCTTTTTGCAAGATGCCCTACAAAGTTGTCTAACGTTGTTATCTGATGTAACATATTGCCAATTCTAGGCCTACATTCATTGCAAAATGTCAAATAAGGGTTATTTTTATTCCATCTGATGAGTATTCTTATAAAAAAAAAATTAATAAAAAAATAAAATAATATAATAAATTAATAAATTAATAAAATAATAATAATAATAATAAGACACGTTATTACAAACGAGTAAAAATGACTTTCTCATGCTCTACTAAAGCGAGACTTTTTAAGCTTTGTCTACACTACCAAATTTGATGTGACAAAAAAATATGATGTGCCCATATTATATGGGTATGATGACATCATATTACATACTATCAAATTGTATAAAAGAAGGTTGAACATGTTAAAACTCTTATTTACCATTACGTTTTTTGTTACGCTTTTTTGACAAAATTTGATAGTGTAGAAAAAGCTTTATACCTTGTTTAGCGAACCCTTCAAACGTCAATAAAGGCGATTTCGGAACGAAAATAACATTATATAGAGTACCGCAGTCGTGTCGTCACAACGCCAGGTGGCGCCCTCTGTCGCCAACCATACGTTGGTTACCGTTTATTACGCCTGAATGATTTCATTTTACCATCAAAATGTACTAAAAACACAAAAGCTCGCATAATATTAGTTATCGAACATACATTTAATCAATTAAAATTTACAAAGAAAAACTAAGATACAACATCTTAATAATTACATTATATATATATATATATAGTTTGTCAGTGGAGAAAATGGCGTCCGGCTGAACTCATTTTGCAACGATAGCAATGGATTAGTATCACATGGTATCGTGACGTAACACTGTAGTACTCTATAATTTAACTAGCGATTGATTTTAGAACACCCCTGAATTCAACTACTGTAGTAGTAGTGGATAATGGGATTCCTCATGGCAATGAGTAACATAATCTTTATATATGACCGTTTCCTGATTCAATCATTTTCTGATAGAATACTACGAAATAGTAAAATTTATTAAATCTCATCATTTGCATTGTTAGATCTCACAGCCATTTTGATAATAATGATGATAATTAGGCAATTAATTTCATTACAATGATTTTGTAAAATTCCACTCTTATGAAGGAGCATAAAAAAAATGACTTGACTACATTTTACAAATGCAGGCGGGACTGCGGGAAAACATTTTTTGTGTGACTTCCACGCTAGCCTGTAAAATGGCCATTTTCATTTATTTTAGGAGTTTTGAAATAATTGACTTAAAATATATATCCTTCGCCTAGATGCTTTTGGTAAGATTAGTAAGAATCCTTTTGCTAAATATGAAAACAAAATTAAATTTATTTTCTCAACTTCCAGAGACGTCTACTTTAAGAAAATAAATTTTGCTGAATAAGGTATTAAAAAATGTCTCCAAAGGACGGTTACATTTTAACTGTACATCGCATCAAAATGAGGTTAGAAAGTACAGATACACACATTACAGTACCAAAAAAGAACTTGATCAATTTCTAGACTGTAGTTACAACATAAAGTATGTAGTACAACAACATAAACAAAAGTACTATACAGATATTAAAGTAATATTATCATCATTATTAGCCATTGTTTTGATTATTTAGGGCCTTATTCGTTAGCCTGCCAATACTCTTCAGTTCAAAATGCTACCGCAAGTCCAGAACCAGCTTGCAACTCATGTACCAGATTTGGTACTTGCGCCCTCAAGTTTGGACAGGCAGCTACCATTTAGTCAACGTCTCGAAGGGATGCTAATGTTTGCTGATATTTCAGGTAGGATTTGGGTGGGCTGAAACCTGCAGGTAACATAAATTTTCATACATTATTTACTAAGGCGTAATAAATATTTATATACGAGTAAGCTCTTTTTTCTGACCGACATGTGTCAGTGGTGCCGTCAGTCATCCCACACAAACCCCCGGAAATACAAAACAATTTGTTTTTGCAATGGAATATTTTCTTTACAGTACCGTAGTTCACGTAGAGTGCTAAATGAAAGTAAAGATCTTTGTAGACTTACTGTATATCCTCATTTTTCTCTCGTTCTCGTCTCAGTCTGTATTTTTACTTCCGAATTTCATTGATGTCCTTCACTTTGTTGATATATTTTTGGTCAAATTATTGTTTTGTTTAGTTTAATTTGATTTTTTTTTTTTTTTTTTTTTTTTTTTTTTTTGTATTTTGTCTTGAACGCACCGTAATTTGACGTGTGCCACTGTTACAGAAGTGTTCGTTCAAATAATAATAATAATAATAATAATAATAATAATAATAATAATAATAATAATAATAATAATATTAATATTATTATTACAAAGAGTCAGGGGTTCTCGCGTTGTTTGTTATATCTAGATTTGAGAAACGAGTTTGGTATGATACGTCACAAGCAAACGTTAATCTTCAGGCTTTTTGACGGGCCACTAAATGCCGAGAACAAAAAGCTATTCTACAGCAACCTAAAACTTGGGTAAATTTGTCATACGATCCAATTTCTAGACCAATGTAATTTATTTATTATCTTTCAGCGGTTATAGTTTGATCTTTGGTGGTCGTATTTCTAAGGACTATTTGGTTACCACCAACACAGAAGCGATCAAATGTTCGCACATTCTCTACTTGTTAAAAACTCTAAAGAAAATACTTAAATATACGTGGTATTACTAAATTATCAAGACTTTTAATGTATACATATGCCTAAAATAAGTAAATAATATTAATATTATTTATTGACCGTTTTTTTACAGATAGTATTCTGATACGATTAATTAAGTACAATAAACTTCTGATTGAACAGACACTACACTGTGAGGCATTATTCATTAGCTGATGTTTTTGGGATGGGAGAAATTAGGGTATGGGTTTACTAAGAACACCGAGTTATACTATTATTAGGCATACTGTACATTATAACCCACTCATGGCTGTGTCGGCAATTGACAATTCAAGAATAATAATTATACTGTAATTGTAAACGGATTGCTTTCTCCGTCACGATAATCGACCATTCGATTCGCAACTACAGTACATCGTTATCAACGAACGGTCAGAAAGTTCTAACTTGGTATTTGAAAAGAACTCCAATTTAAATAACTTATTGGGCTTAATTATTATTATTATATGTAAAGAGGGTGTCAATCAGAAGTCTTACAATTCACAAAGTTATGTTTAAAAAAATGTAACACATTACTGTATATAAATTATGTTAACTCATTTTTTACGTTTTTAAACTAATACTTTTAAGAAAGGTAGCTGTTATTACTAACAAAATTTCCATATATTTGGAAAGTATTTTTGATTCAACAAAAATAGTTTACATACTTTTAACTTGTTGATTGTATGCAAAATTGAGCCTGATTATATTACGTTCAACTTGTAATGCTTTAACCAATTTTTGACACGTAAAAAAACCTAATATACCTATACATAATTTTACCAGATTTATCACATCGTTATCAAATCTTCAGAATTCTAGAAAATAGTTTATATTTGGCTTAGGGCTATTTGTATTTTTAGTGCACATTGCTTGAATAAATAAAGTGGTAGTTAACTTTGCATACAATTGCATTACATCATAATGTTATTTACAAAAGCGTGTGACATATGCCTAAATATGGTCATGATGTGATCATCATTACCATATATAGGCACATCATTGCTATATATAGGCATACATTTTGCTATATATGGTCATAATTTTTTCAATAAAAATTTGACAGCCGGGACAGGACTTTATGATTAACTCAGCAGATTTTGTCTGCTGCCAACTGCTGTCAAATTGCCTGAAAAACATCTACCAACGCTGTCACGTTGCCAAAAGAGTTAGGACGGTAATCTAATAATTTTGTACATAATGACTTAAAATATCAGACGCTTGTTTATAAAGTACAGTAGTCTATATTCAGATATTCTCTTAAAGAAAATTTGGAAAAATTAACATATAGTCTAATAGTTTACCTGTTTGAATATTATTATAATATTATATCGTTATTTATATACATATTCCTCAACACAATAATGACGAGTAAAGAGGTCATGTGATCTAGAAACAGAGGTACCGCTAATTTTTCTAAAGGTATTAAACTTACGTTTGGTCAAAATCTCATTGATAACAAAATGGAATTGTCAAGTCCTGTTCACACTATCAAATTGCATTTGACCAAAACATGTGACATGTCTAAATATGGTCATGCTGACATCACATCATGTCTATATATGAGCATACAACAGTTTTTTTTTTTTTTTTTAGTTTTGTTTTTTTTTTTTTTTTTTTTTTGTCAAATAAAATTTGATAGTGTAAACAAAGTGTTATTCACAAAATAACAACACGTGTACTGCAGGCGGCCAGGATTTTAGAAAGGAAAACAAATATTTGTTCATCGAACTTCCAAAAACAGTGCGTGATTGTTTCATGTCAAATATAATCAATGTTTTTTTTTTTAACCAAAAAATGCGATATTATTTACATCCAAAAGTCCTAAATTTCAATGCCAAAGATTTTTTATTGTTGTTATTATACACAGGCATTAACTGATGTCTCGATCTTGTTACGGTGATGGTTCCAGTATTACGATCAGCGTTTGTAAATCTTCATGTTCTAAGGCGTTTTTAAATCGCAACAAAAAGCGTAAAAATCATTGTGGTAAATGCAAAGAGTGATAACGAACTCTTGCTGGATGCGTTTATTGGCTTAGCCGTGGTGGTCTTGGTTCTTAAATTAGCCTTTTTCCCATCGTTACCTTTCTTCATGTTCAACTTCGTTGTCATCCTATTTATCGTCGTGCTGAACAATTTCGCAGATGTTGACGTTTTTGCTTGCCGTGTCGTCGGAATTTTGGTTTTCGTCGGTAATATTGTTGTTTCTGGCTGACGACAAATTGTTCCGGGGAATTGGTTAACATAGTCATAGTTTTCAAGATTCTGAGTCGTCACACGCACAGCCGCAGACTCTCCGTTCACTTCCTCCAATGTATACATATTTCCAGGAGCTAATTTTATCAGTAGAATATACATACCGTTTATTTGTATGCTTGTTTCAGTACAGTCAGAGTTTGATCCAAATCCAATTATTTTGATACTATTACTACCAATAGTAATGGAACTACTATTATCTCTAATCACACATTCAACTTTGACGTTAGCCCAGTATCCACATTCTGTATCGGACCTGCAATAGCCACCTCCATCACCTTCACGGGTAGAAACAATCCTCCCAATAATGACAGTACTAGCCTCGTTAGCTCTGTCCAAAATGGATTTCGATACCCAGCCTCGAGGGGGTTCACATGCTTCCGTGAATGCAACGATACAATAGAATAGAGATATCCACAAAATTGACATAATGTCTCAAATTTTCGGCCTCAGTAAGTAAACGTTGTGCTTTTGATTTGCGTTAAAATTAACCAACTCAGCAGTAACGAATCTTCTTTTTGTTTACGAACGATCAATCCTGTTTGTTTTACCGTATGTAGTATCCTACGGTTTACTGCTACCTGAAACAATTGCTACCGTACTTAAACTGATCAGCTGTAAAGTTTGACGCGATATGGTATGTATTTCTTAATAAAGTAGCCTATAGCTTCGTGATAAAGGTGTTGGGTGTCTGCCTAGTTTACTTCCTTCCAGCTTGGAGACAAACCGTCCGTCTGCTGCTTTCAACGACTATAAGCATGATTATCGCGAGAGGAATTTCCGCCACCCTTATGGTAAATTACCAGTCAGATAAATTATGACGTCGACGTCGTTCTCGTGACTTGCTTTGCTTGCTAACTCATAAGCTGGAATTCTTGATGGCACTAGTCACCGTGTCTCAGTGGGGTAGGGCTCATATTACCAATTCATCCGACGTAGGTTGATGGAACATAAATTTATAGGTCGACATTTTACAGCCAATTCGCGGTTCATTCTCTCATATCGTTTACGGTATGTGTTGAATTTTTTGTCTCTTTACCCGTAATTTTCTTACTACAGGCGATTCTGTGGTTGATGTTTTTATTACAATTTTCATGTCAGATTATAATCATATAAAACGAAAAAGGAGATTGCCTTGTTGGTAAAGCCACTTTCTCTGTACAGTATATATCTTTCTCCTCAAAAGACATTTTCAAACTTCTACCGGTATGTTATAGGTCCATAATAATCTACTACCCAAAAATAAATAAATGAATAAAATTATGAACAAATATGTTTAATAAATGTCCACAATTTATATAGGGATAATTTATAAATTTAAAATTCTAATACCGTATTTATTCGAATAAACGCCCCGGAGCATTTATTGTTGAGAAGGATTGTTTTTTTAGAGGGGCGTTTGTTTATTCGATAGTTCTTTAAAAAAAAATAAAACCAATGGTATTTATTAATTAATTTTTCTTTTGCTATAAAAGTGTTAGTAACTGGTAATTATCAATTGCATGAATACAGTGCTGCGCCTTAGTGCTAATAGCATGTAGGCATTGGTTGTCTAGCGTACATCTTTCGTTTTCACCGTCATTATGATACATACTATAGGTTATATATTGCGTAGTAGTCACATATCCTGATCTGTTCCACTTTCCTTTTGTAACAACCAGTAAATTTTTCTCAGACTCAGTATCCTTACTTTTATTCATTTTTTGCCTGTTTGAGGCTCTTGTTATTTATCACACTTTCTTTTCAAAGAAAATAAACTGTACACATGGCGGATTTAGGGTGAAAAAAACATTGATCGCCTACAACGCATCAGAGGTTATTTTCGGGCGACTAGAAAACAAAAATTTCGTGGGGACATGCCCCTGGACACCCTAGGGTAGTTTTGTCTCGATCAGCCCCATTTTCGGCCTCCACTTTCGCTCCCCCCCCCCTTCTTTTGGACATCTCTGGATCTGCCCCTGGTACAGCTGCATATTACTCTTCTGTATATAGAGTGTATTGCATAGTCACATCACTGCACAGGCAGATAAGTAACATAATTTTACAGTATAGGCCTAACCTTTTGACATTTTACCTCAACCTCAATTTTTCTTGTTTTCTCGGTTTTCTTATGAATTATGTTTTTATAAAAATAGATACGCATACTGTTTTGTGATTAGACAATCCTGGCTTCGTATGCTTGTTACCGGATCAATCAGCAAGCATTAATATCACGGTAATCAGGAAAGGAAAATAACCTGACATTTCCGTTTTAATCAATTACTTCGAACAGCATCTCTTATTAGGTCAGAATCGCCACATTCGCCAAAAGTCTCCGGAGAACGTAGGTATCTGGTTTACGGTGAATGATTCGTGGTTTAGTTTTGGTCCATTCAATGACCTCCCTTGTCCTGACAAAGACAGATATTTGTCGAGGCGGTCGAGGCAATTATGTGGTCTCGTCGCATAAAGTGTAATTGCACTTTCGGGCTCTGTCATTGTCCATCCTCAACGTACAAATGATAAGTGCAATATAAAAAAATACAGTCATAATTAATGTCAACATAAAACGATCAAGTTTCAAGAGTTTCAGAATGCTTTATGTCTCCATATGTTATACAGTAAAGTACAGTACATGAATTGGAACCTTTACTATTATTAACAGTATTATCGTCGTCGTCGTCGTCGGCGTCATCATCATCATCATCATCATCATCATCAATATCATCACCATCTTCATCTTTATCATACTTCTTATTTCAATACATGGCATCGGCATGCATTGAAATTTAAAAATGTAGAGCTAAATGGAGAAGGGTAGGGGTGAAGGGACCTGCCTCTCTTATGCATTTGAGGCTTTATGTATATTACTTTTACATACATTCGTTTACTCACAGTATTTATCATACTGAGATTGTGCGACAAGTAAAAAATTTGAGTTTCTCTATCTGTCTTATAGTTCCTGAGACCATCTGCTGCTGGGTCTGGAATGCCGGAATTAATCGGTTTTCTGAATGGTACGCTGGTACGAAACATCTTCAATATTAAGACATTGATAGTGAAGTTTTTCTCCTGCTTGTGTGCTGTTAGCAGTGGATTACCTGTTGGCCCAGAAGGACCCATGATTCACATGGGGTAAATAGACTTATTATTTTAATTCTCATCTAATAGGAAGAATAGTTTAAAGTAGTTTTATTCATCATCATTGTCATCATCATCGTCATCATTGCCATCATCATCATTTTCATTATCATCATATATTCTATATAGTTTTGTTATGATTAAACTGTACCACTCTGAAAATCAGTGTAATAGTACTGAAAGTGTCTACAGTATAAAGAAACAATAATTAAATAAATAAAATAAAATCATCATTGCCATTATTTATCATCATTACCATTATCATCGCATCATCATTGTCATTATCATCATAATCTTCATCTTCATCGTCGACATTATTATTATTATTATTTATTATTATTAATATTATTATTATTATTATTATTATTATTATTAATATTATTATTATTATTATTATTATTATTATTATTATTATTATCATCATCATCGTAATATGTAATTTTTATTTAATTATTTATTTTTTTATTTATTCAGGGCTAAAATGCTTACATAACAAAACAAGTACTGTACAAATATTCAAAGGCTAAATCCGATACACAATTAAACAATATAAAAGGATATTATTATTATATTATTATTATTATTATTATTATTATTATTATTATTATTATTATTATTATTATTATTACAGTATCATTATTTTTACAGTATCATTAGTATTACAGTATTATTATTATTATTATTATTATTATTATTATTATTATTATTATTGTTATTATTATTATTATTATTATTTTATATTGTTGTTATTAATGTTATTTATATTATTCAATTTACACACACAAAACTGAAAAAAACGGTTGCGTTTTGAGTACGTGTCGACGTTTCAAATGCAGAGAAGTGGCTATAATATTGTATAAATTGTTTTCAGGAAAGTCTCCTTAGAGTTTAGACGAGAAGAGCAATTATACAAGTAGGCCTATTCGAATATTTGGTAACTGTTTTCGTCGAAAATATATTAAATTGCTCTGGGCCGTCTTCAAATGAATTATTCACTAAAAACGCCGTGACATTATTAACAACGCAATGGTCTGTGATAGGCCTACGACAAAACAACCAGTGACATTTTGCCTTGGCTCAGTGTTCTTATTTTTGGCCAATTTCAGGCTCAAACTATCTTATTTTGTTCTTATTTTGACATATTTTTTAAACATTAAATTATTATTACAAGAGTATATTGCTGTACTGTATTATTAAAGGTACAGAGGGTTATGTACAGTAATTTAATTATGCAATCTTATATATCAGAATTCATAATAATATAGTAATGATGTTGATGGTGATGATGATGATGATGATAATGATGAACATTGTTGTTGATGTCGATGTTGTTAAATAGCAAAGCAAATATGAAAAGATAACGAAAAGAAGAATACAGTTTATTCATTTATATTAAGTATTAGGCTGATGTTGCTTCATTTTGTAGGTTTTACTGCTCTTTGTGAAAAATACAGTTTGAGTTCGCGTAGTAATGGAACAGACAAGCTTTCGAAGACGTTAAACGACTATCTGGGTGCGATAGTCGAGAACATCATTGGCTCAGAAGGAGACGTCCTGAAATTTGCAGGTGATTTTCTAAAAAGAGAGGTAGATAGTACAAGGACTTTTTAAAAGTCCTTGGAGGCCTATCTTTATGACGGGAACTAACAAAAAAGTTCTTCGTCCTTAGGTTAATGGTGACTGGCTCTGGAAAATCCTTGTCGGTAAAATTGAACATTTGTTTTGTTTTGTTTTTTTTTTTGTATTTTTAATAATTTACTCTATTAATCAACCGTGTTTATTTGATTTGAATTGGTTGATTATTATCAATGTTATGAATTTTCATTGACTATCTTTGTAGGTCTAGGTTTTGAGAAGGAAACCTGCAAAGACTCTAAATTCATTAAGTTTGATAGTATGGCATGTCGTTTGAACTCAGCGCAAAATTTGAAAATATTTGAAATGAAAATATTTGAATGTTGCAAAAAAAACAAAAAAACAAAAAAACAAAACAAACAAACAAACAAACAAAATTAATTAATTAAAAATGAGTTAGAATTCGAGTTGTATACGTTCTGCTCTTTAAAGACTAAGCCCACTTCGAAAGAATTTTGTGATTGAAAACACAGCACACGATCACACACATGTTTCATTGGACACGTAGGCCTATTACAGTCCGTGTCAAAGGCAACCTAAGGTCGTGAACAGACATGAACAATTCTGATCATCAGAGACTCCTTAGCCCAAACCACCTTTCTTTCGCCCACAGTCGGCTAATAGCATAATAATGGATCCGTGTCACAACATACTCAATTCATATTGTGGTGAAATTAATAACACTATTATTAGGACTAGGCCTACATGACTTCCTAATGCTCTCGTGCAACTCTCTTTAAATAGTTCGTGCGTATGCATTCTCCCTAGTTAGATTGAACAAACGAATACCGAAATACGCTAGGCTGTGACCACACTATCAAACTTTATGTGACAAAGAAATTCGATATGCCCATAGTTAGGTGTTAATATCTGAAATTCTGAATGAATAAATGAGTGGATTAATATTAAAGCACAGCAGAATGTAACTGCGAATGATTACATTCGATTAGTGGTTAATATCTAATTCATGGCCAGCGGAAGCG